ATCAAATTCAGGAATTACATAACATCTATTCTTCTTAGAAGCTGTCTCACAGAAGAATTCCAACCAGTCTTCTCCCTGGTATTGATAATATAGGGAGAACCCGATGCTGAGGCCAATTTCCCCATAACATACCAGTAAAATCAGTCAAAAGAATCAGCAAGAAAAGAAACAAAATGCCTGGGTCGAGGCCCAGACTCGAAGGACAGAAGGAAAAACCGTATCCTTCAAAATTCTGATGACAAAAATCGAAGAAGACAATTGAAAATAGAGAAAGAAAATCAAATGCGCAGCTTCCCCACGAGAATTCTATCTCTAGAAACCCGCAGCTTCTCTCTCTAAAATTATTCATAGAGTATTGTTGTAATTATTCTCACATAAGAGTTATATGTGGCGCTCATTTATGCACCATTACTAATATATTCAAATTCAATTCTTCGATATTGCTATCCCCAAACAAACAATCATAAAGATTTTCACTACACTTTATTTAATTTACATTTCATTTTAAACATTCCAATTTAGAACTTGCAATCAAACAATCCTTATGTGAAGTTAATAATTGAGTTGATCTATATAAGTTGATTGCCTAAGAATCATACTTTGCGTTAAATATTGTGCTTTATTAAATAGGAAATTTAAGTGCCCAATAATAGTAATAATTACTCGAATTTCATATTGTTACATGTCATGAGAGATATATAATAAATAAATAAATCATTTCTCTATGCTTTCAGTATTAGGAGGGCCATACTAAACAATTTTATATAGAATCATATTGCCTTCTCTTTTGAGAGGTTTCACTTTTTTTTTTCTTTATCTAAAGTGCATGAACTCACCTAATAATTACATTAATATTTTAAACTAATATCTCAAAATGAGATTATTTTTTATCATGGTTTTTTAAAGCAAAGTTGTTTGTATTTTATAAACAACTAAATAATTTAATTAATAAGGCTAATATCATATAATATATTGTTGGAAATTTCTATATGTGGGCTCACATATTTATCTTAATTATACATTTTATCTTATCTTAATATTAAGCCTATTCATTTGTGATCAAATAATAATTAAATATTTATTGGCTTTAGAGGAATATTATTTATTTTATTATTTTATAATTTGTATGGAGTTGTTATGAGTAGATACTATGTATGTTATTTTATTATTAATGATGGACTGAAAATAAAATAAAATGCAATTAAAATATAAATAGGGGTCATGGTCCCCAGTTTGAGGTGTTGGTTCTTATTTACTCATACTCATCCTAGAGTGAAACGGAGGATCTGTCTCAAGGGAACACCCTCAATATGTGGAAAACCAAAGATCCCACAGTTTTTCCATGGAATTAGGTACATTTCCTATCAGAATGTTCTCGACAATTCGACTTACAATCCGCGAACAAAATATTTTATTTGGCCTCTTTTTATTTTCAACAATATATACATACTTTTAAATGATCATATGTATCAATCTTCTGGTAAAGTTTGTATGATATTTAAAAATTATTTTACCTTAAAAAGAAAACTACATGTCAAAATGTGTGACTTGGCTTAATGGTGAAAAGCCTAAAAGTTTTTTTTCCACTAGAGAGGTAAAAATCCATAGAATTTTGATAAGTGTAAATAATGTTATATTTTATGCATTAATTTTTCAGTAAAAATATGTTATTTTAGTTATGTTTGTGCAGAAAAATAAAAAAAAATGGACAAATGTTTAAAGTATGGTATAGTGCCATGACATCAGACGTAATACAACCACGACGGCATCATTGACACTATTGGAACACCCAAATATGGACATGGTAGGTGCCTAGTCTCTGTTTGACAGTACTGCTGCATCAAAGGAGCAAGTGCTGCAAAGCCTAACCAACTATCCTAACTCTGCAACATCGGAGGAGACAGTGCAGCAAAGCCCAGTCTCTATTTGCATAACATTATAACACCAAATTCCAACCCTGATTAGTCATGGAGTGTCGCATGGACGTTGTGCTACAGTTGTAATTGTTCAGGCCATGATCTTCCTGCGTAGAGACACGTCGATTTATTAAACAGCAGGTTCATGTCAGCAAGCACCACATCAAAGGAAGTCCTTCAGCGTCACGGCGTTAGTTCATTTTATGGGCACCATAGTGCAAATGTCTCGAGCACTGCAACATCATCATCTATTTTTTTTTTATTTTTTTTTATAAATAGTTAATTTCTAATATTAGTATGAGAGTTTTGTCACTTATTTAATTTCAATCTTTATAGTGCTTCTCTATTTTTTCCCGAGGAGAGACAATTAAGAGAATTCATAGAAGTACTAGATACATTTCATTATAGTGTTTCGCTTGTATTTGTGAAAGGAATTATGTAAGTTCAAGGAGTGTAGAGAAGAGTATTGGATCATATGATGATATCTTTTCTTATTATGCAATTAATGAAAATGAATTTGTTTCACTTAATCTTTATATATGCTAAATTATTTAGTTTTTTTATTGATAATGTAAATGAAATATGGAGTACTAATGAATTTTTTTCAACAATAATTTCATGACATTTTCAATATACCATGTATTCATTTAATGCACAAAATGGTTATATGTGTAGTTAATACTAAGTATAGTGTGCAACATAGGAATAGGAAATCAGGCACATCATGTATGTTGGATGATATGATGCAATCATATGTATAGTGTTTGTCGTATATCAAATTTATAGAGATAAATTATCATGAGGAGGTTTTAATGTTACATGTTTTTCTTGCTCTTCTAAGATTTTTGTGGGGTGACAGACTATGAGAGTTTAGAGTGATATTGAGGTTTGAAGAGTTTAATATGTTTTTTGTCTCTTAACGCTTGATCGAGCGGTAGGTGATGCATATGCTCTGAATATCATCAATATAAAAGATAATAATTATGAAACATGTTGTATTTAGATTTCATCAATAAAAAATTATTTATCTAAATAGTATTTTAATTAATTATTTTTATTCTAAATTAAGTGATTGAATCTCCATTAAAACTTATTTTAATTGAGTAGGATGATTGTTGCAGTTGAATTAGACAATGCTAGTATTTGCAAGTAAATATTATTCCTTATGAGATCGATACTCAACTCTATCACTATATTACTTGATTTGACACTTATACTTGCGTATATTAATTGGGATTTTTATAATTTTTATATCAAATAAAACCTAAGCATTGTGTATGGATTGATAGAGTCATAAATTATTTTCATAATTCTTTAGGTTGCTTCACTGCTCGCATCAAAGTCCATCACAAATTAATATGATTAATGATAAATGAATATCAATGGTTGATGACATAGAGGCTGTAAGGGAATATGTGAATGTTGAAATGAATAGAAGAAAACGACGAAGATGTTGAGATTTACTTATCAATTACATAAGAAGTTAAGAGGTTGAAAATATAACTCATTTATATGTTCTTTAACAAGATTACATAATTCATTTTGTCTTTTTTTATATTAGATATAATATTTTGAACTCTTATTTTTATCCATTGTGTAACTATTCAGTTTGAAGATAGCGAGCCAACTTTGCATTCAAGTATGATGCTCTAAATATATATTTATGTGTAGATTGCAGCTTGATTTGTAATTCTATAGATTTTTTTTTTGTCATGGTCCTTTTGAATCAAGGAAATATTATTAGATGGGACTATATTTATAATTGTAAAAAAATTATCAGTATTTTATTGTATTGCTCTATATTAGTATAAATGCAATCTAAATGTAATGCAATACATTGAAAAAAATTAATTTTTGTCTTTAATCTTTATTCTCAGATAGGGGTGCAAACGAGTCGAGTCGAGCTCGAGCCAGAGGGTGTTCGAGTCGAGCCTGACAATCAAAACCCGAGCTCGAGCTCAAAATCCGAGCTCGAGCTCGACTCGTCGTCAAATCGAGCGGCTCATCGAGCTCGCTATCGAGCCCGTGACAGGCGGCCTGGGTGACCGCGTGACCGCGTCCCGTCGACAAATCGAGCCCGTCGTCGACGCTCTCGGCTTGACTCGGTTGCACCCCTATTCTCAGATGCTAAAGATGGCAAAGGCAATAAGAATTTTATTCATAGTTAGGTATTTTTTTGAACTTTATTATGGAACTTTTTACTGTGTTGTAAGCAATTATTTTTTTTTCTAATAGTGTTGTCATATACAAATTTTTTTTTTGTTTCAGTTGTTTAGGCTATGATTTTGGAACAACAAATGAATGTGGCATCACCATATTAGATTTTTGTTTAGCTTATGATTTTTTAATTGCTAATACCTTATTTAAGAAAAAGAATGAGCATATCATCATTTATAAAAATGGATATAGTACAATCTAGATTGACTATTTTCTTATAAAAAAATTAGATCGTTTAGATTGTAAAGATTGTAAAGTTATTCCGAGTGAAAATTTATGTACCCAACATCGATTATCATTAGGAGTAAGGATTCTAATAAAATTGAAAGTTTCGATTGCAATTAAATAATCGAGCTCAACAAACATCTCAAGTTCAAACTTTTCAAACGAGGTTGAGCAAATGAGCTTGACTTCGTTACTAAGCTTGAATTCAAGCTAAGTGATAATTAAACTGCATGGCTCAGTACGACAGATATTAGACTCATTTACCCCCCTACAATCAAGTATTTATGAAAGAAAAAAATAAATAAAATTAAACAAAATCTCAAAAGAAGAAAAAAGCTATTGCCTAATTTTTTATTTTTTTTAAACTTATGCATTTAATACTTAAGTATGATAAAGTAAGGTCGTCAAAAATTCTTCCTAAGATTTCCCCAAAAAAAAAAATCTTCCGAAGATATCTTTAAAATATTGCACGAGATTATTCTATGAATATTTTTCGTACATTAACTGGGCCAGGGCAAATCGGATCCCGGGTCTCAAAGCCCACCCAACAAAGACTGGCCCGCACATCAGTGGACACAGTTTCTCACACGTGTGCCATTGGAGGCAGATAATCAGTCGAGGCCGCACGTGCCAGTTACTCCCCCACATCTTCACGCTATCAACTTGAAATCGAGAAAGGTTCGCCGTTCCGGCTGCGCGACGGAGCCAAATTGCCCTCTTCTTCCCCTGCCCCTACTCAGAGAGAATCCAAATATTTAATCGTTGTCTCGAATTGAAGGAGTGGGGGATTTTCCTACCCACAATCAGAAAGTTTCGAACTTTCCCCTAAGACGATTCGTTCAGCGGTCGATCAATTGATTGAAGCGACGCGGTGGCCAACCTGGGTGGTCGCATTGAGGGCTCAGCAATGGAAGGTGCAAGTAGCTGGAATGCCCTTGAGTGGACCAAAACAGAGGTCTAATCCTAACCCAACCCATTTTCTTCCAATCCCCGGGCTGTATTTCTTCTCTGTTAGTTTTCCCTCGCTCTTGTTTAGCACGAGCTTACCCAAGGATCATGCTTCTCTGTTTGTGTATGGGGATTGCAGTCCGTGTCAAGGTCAGCGACTCATGGGATGGCTGAGTTCTTGCTGGAAGCCGAGGAGGTCATTGTACAGGTACCACATATATCTTTTGCTTTTCTTTATATGTAATTATCTCATCCGTCTGTTTACCATTATTGTATGTTATTTCTCAATACGGATCAAGAGATTTAGGTGGGAATATATCTTTTCATCAAATATTATTTATAAATGTTGTTTATTTGACACAAATTGATATGTAATGGTATAAATTATTTTATTTTTAGTTGAGTGATCTGCGATAGTTGAATTGAAATGAAGTCGGCACTTATCATTTTATATAGAAGAGTTTGAAGTAGCTCATGCTCAAGAATAGAACCGTCAGAAGCGCTGAATGATCTTCATTTTTGCAATTAAAGAGAAAAAAAAGAATGAGTAAAAGATGAAGTGGATTTTAAATATGCATATCAAATCACCAGAAACCTGATATTTCTGTAGCAAGAATCAACGTTGTGAGTGATTTTCCACAAAACCATCCTTACTCTGTAGTGATCCACTGAGCAATACATGCCATGTTATCAACTAAATATAATAAAGAAACAACATTGGAAGCATTATTTCCTTATTCATGTCTATATCATCCAATCAGAAAATCCCCTTGTTCTTACCAATCATTAAAAGAATAAGGGCAGCACTTTTGCATTAAGTATAATCTGATTTAATACCATATTAATTTAAATAGAGAAAAATAATCAGTTATTGTTATAATCTATAAAAAGACAAAATAAAAAGTTAGGGAAAACATGACCAAAAACCATTCCATTAATTAACATAACCCAACAAAAAATACATGGGCATTACCAACTTGCTTTTTCATCTATTATCATTTAGATGAAGGATTCCCTTGTCCCAAACTAGAAGAAAGTGAAGTATGATTTCTCTCAATAGCCACACATAGACATGCTAATTAAATCTCCCATTCACAGTAATGATAAGCACAAATGTTTCATGATTTGATAAGCACAAATGATCCTTATGATGACTAAGAAAAAAAATGCCAATAAAATTTTTTGTTGTAGGTTTTCATGAACCTAACAACAACAACAATAATATTAAGTCTTTATCCCACTGTGAGGTCGGCTACATGAATCATTTGTCTCCATTGTGTCATGTTAAGAGTCAAATTCTCATTCAAATCTAATAAAGACTTGATCGCCCCAAGTCATAATCACTCAACTAGATTCATTATTGCTAAAATTACACTCATATATTCAGTTTTAGATCTACTCAACCGAAAACCTTTAAACTCTAACGTTGTCCTCCATAATTCAACTTTACCTTCAACTTCCTCTCTAGTTTTATTAACAAGAAGAATATCATATGCAAAAAAACATACACCAGGGGACAACCTCTTGCAAATGTCTAGTGAGAACATCTAGAACTAAAGCAAAAAAATATGGGTTTAAGGTTGATCTTTGATGTAATCCAACAGAAATAGGAAAATACTTGGTCAAACCATCTTGTGTTTGAACACAAGTGACAACTCCTGTATACATATCCTAAATGACTTGAATATAAGTATTATTAACCCCTTTCTTTTCTAAAACTCTTCATAACACTTCTCTTGGAACTTTATCATATTCTTCCTAGAAATATATAAATATTATTTGTAGATCCTCTTTATTCTATCTATACTTCTCCAACAAACCTCTTAATAAATGTATAGCTTCCATAGTAGGGCCTACCTGGCATGAATCCAAATTGATTTTGAGAAACATTAGTATCACGTCGTAACCTATGCTCCATGACTCTCTTCTATAGTTTTAATGTATGACACATTAAATTAATTCCTCTATAATTTGCACATTAATCTCGTGCATCACCTTTATGTTTAAAAATAGGAATCAACAAACTCATTCTTTACTCATTTGACATTTTCTTATTATTCAAAATATTGTTTAAAAGTTTAGTAAACCAAAAAATTCCTTAATCTCCTAAGAATTTATGCACCTCTATTAAAATATTATGAGGTTCAACAGCTTTTTCACACTTCATTTCTTTAAAGCATCTCTAACTTCAATTTTACTAATACATCGATAAAAACAAAATTTTTATTTTCATTTACGATGCTAAGGTCACTAAAGTCAATCGTATTCTCACAATCTTCATTAAAAAGTTTAGCAAAATATCCCATCCACGTTTGTTGAATATCATCTTCTAATAAATATACTTTTTAATCTTCATTCTTAATGCACTTCACTTGAACTAAATCATTACTACTATCTTTATGTTTGACTAACTTATACATATATCATTTTCCTTCTTTAATATCTAAACTTTTATATAAATCATTAAAAGCTTAAATTTTTGCATCACATATTATTTTCTTAAACTCCTTACGACGCTCTTTATATCTTTCCTAATTATCAGAATTTTTATATCTAAATTAATAATAAATCTTCTTATTTTTGGTCTTTTCTTACACATTTTGATTACACCACTAACTATTTTTTATTATTAACATCTTTTTCTTTTGATACTCTAAGTACATCTTTTGCAATATTCTTAATATCACTAGTTATTACCACCATCATAGGATAGCATAAAAACAAAAAAAAATAGAAAATATAACAAATATTGTTCATAACAAAAATTAAGCAGAAAAATCTAAATGCATCACTTCCTCATGCTCACACAAAATCTTAAGATCTAGAATCTTAAGCTAAAAATTATTTTTGTTAATATTTTTTAAATGCCCCATCTAATTCTAGAATAATGTTTTACTTTGTTTTTATTATTTTGTCCATTTATTTTGAAGTCCAAAACTAATAAGCGATGTTGGGTACATAAAATTTCATTTATAATAATTTTATAATCTTTGCAATCTAAATGATATATTTTTCTTATTAAAAAAATAATCAATCTGAGTTTTACTATATCAATTCTTCTAAGGATGAGATGCTTATGTATTTTCTTAAATAATGTATTAACAATTACAAAATCATAAGATAAAGAAAAATTTAATATGATCTTAACATCTTCATTAGTCGCTTCAAACTCATGACCACTATTAATGTTTTTAAAATCATCTGCCTCTCTACCAACATCATAAAATTTTAATTAGATAAAGAGTTAAGTGTATCCTTGTTAGTTTGCTTTCTTATTCACAGCAAAAAAAGCAAAGTTAAATAGTTTTCATATGAAGTTAACTATTTAAAGCTTGTCCACATTGTGCCCACATAATGATAACAAATGTCAAGGAGAAGAAGCACATAGCAGCCTATTAAACCTCTTTGTTTAATAAAGAAATTCTTATAGTTTATGTATGCTTATATGAAATACCATAACTGTTGGTCCATTGAAATTTTAATGACAAAAAAAAGAAAGACTTCCAATTTTTCCCTAGAGCAAATAGTGACAAGGTGAGTGAAAAAATGTGAATTGAATTAATAAAAATTGCAAATGATTAGAAGGAAATACCTAACAAAATTATATTTGATCAATAACAATGACAACTTTGAATCTAAATAAAAGATAGTGGAAGGTAGAGGAATGCATAGCTTTTTTAGAAGTACAGAGAGAGTTTGAGGGCTATTGTATGTATTGGGATAAGTTATGGGGTGGCATTATGACTTTGGCAAAAGGCTTTCACCCTTTGTAGTGGGCCTCAGTTCTTGTCTCTTCATTGAGGATACAGTGGCTGAAAACCTTCCTTGCTCACTTTTTTTTATTACGTTTAAGAAAATGGTGGAAATGTTATATTAAAAATTAGGTAATGTCGTAGTGAGATTTTGGGCAAAATGTTCTACCCCACAGCCGCCTCTAGCCTTTTATGTATTTAACAGATGTAAAATTAAGGAGTTGTTGAAAAAAATAAAAATAAAGAGGAGTTGTAGGTTAGCTGGCTTATTGGAGATTGGTACTCTATTTTCATCCCCATCTAATTAGCTTGCTATTTCACAATGTAAAATGAACATTACTCGTTGCTCGGAAGATGATGGATTTTCGATATTTTGGCTAGCTCAACTAATTTCTCACATGGTTGCTTATGTGAGATTATTGGAGATTGGTACTCTATTTTCATCCCCATCCAATTAGCTTGCTATTTCACAATGTAAAATGCACATTACTCGTCGCTCGGAAGATGATGGATTTTCGATATTTTGGCTAGCTCAATTAATTTCTCACATGGTTGCTTATGTCTTAGTATGTTGTTCAAGATAGATTCACTTTGTGGTCTGCAAACATTGGGTTGTAGGGATCCGGATCCACCCATTTTCTTTTGGCTGGTTTTTTTTTTTACATTAAAGCTGGACACTTTGTTGGTAAAATCTTTTGGGGAAGTTTGAATCCATTGCTATCTTTATGATTAAATCTTTCGAGTGGAGGTTAGTTATTGACAACGATGCTTCTTATATGTTAATCTAAAGTTAGGATTTTCATTCATCTCAGCTATATGATCATTAGAGACCGTCAATTTTGTTTATTAGAAGTTGCAAGTAATTTATAATTTCTATTTATATAAATTTTTTTCTTTAGATAAGATTATTTTATATCGCATGATAGCATTATTATGCCTTTGTTGCGATGTTATTTTATTGTTTAAAATTTTTTGATGTTTTAAAATTTTTGTTTAATGAGAGTTAATGCAATCATTGATAGGGTCATGGTGTTGTTCTAGTCAACACAGATACGGCAGGCACATTGTCAGTAACAAACTTTCGCCTTCTTTTTCTGGTTAGTGTAACTCCTCGTTTCTGTTGAATTTAATGTAACCATCTATATATCTAGAAGAGATTTGTTGTTACATCTATGATTTTTTTTTTGTTTGCATATGTTCTATTGAATGAATGCTGACTTTTTCCTTTTGTAGAGTGAGGCTTCTCGTGATATAATTGAACTTGGCACCATAGCATTGACAACTATCGAGAAGTTTAGTAAGCAAGTAAGTGTGTTATGAATTGTTGCAATCAAATTAGTTTATATGCTCCAAAATTGTCATACTGTTGACATTTAACATCACAATATTAAATAGTTGTATCAATTTGGTTTTACACTTAAATTAATTGATATTATTTTGCAAATAGTTATTGCTTGTGGATCTACTTTTGTGTAATTCTTGTTAAGGTAAATTAAAATTGATTTGTGGACTATATATGTATTTTGACATATGTGCTTGAACCAAAGGATGTGAAAACATTCAATGGTGTTTATTTTGTTAGATATGCTCTGTGTGGATTGATCCATGTCCAACTAGATTTTTTTTTGAAGTTATGTATTGTCTATTTTAATTGCTAATTCTTGTGAAAATGGGAAATTCCGGACTTATCTAACCATGTTTTTTTTAGTTTAATAATCTTGTAGTATGCTTTTGAATGAATCATTTGAGTTAAGTAAAATCCTTATGTGCCTAGTTAAGCTTTATAGTTACGATCTTTATCATTAATTCTTTTCTATTCAACTACTAAATTGACAAAATAAGATGCTAAATAAATAATCAACATCAGTGAATATGCATACAAGGGGCTCACTATTGGTGCTTGTCGCTTTGCGTTGCTTTAAGTGTGTATATATATTGAACCAATATTCTTGTAATTGTTAATTTATTGTTACTTTTGTCTAGGCTTCACCTTTTAAGAAAAGGGTTGTCAACATCTTAGTGCAAAAATTGTGCTACTAAGGAGTTTCTATTATGACTATAGGCCAAGGGAGGCTAGATCGACAGTGGAGGGGATGAAACCTGAAACCAAATCCAGGGAGATTTCGTCCCCTCTTGTGGGGCCCAACAAAGCAATAATTTATTATATTAGGAGGATAATTAAGGAGAGAATTAAGGAGATAATTAAAGAGGGAAAGATCTCCTATTTGAATTCAAATAGGAGAGTGAAATTAATAAGGAAAGCATGCTGATTTGGGGGTTGATTTGGAGGGAATTAATTAGTAGATGTTTCCAAATTAAAGAGGGCATATTTGAGGGTTGATTAATTAGGAGTCATTTCCTAATTGAAGACGACAAATTTGGAGGCTGATTTGGGAGGGAATTGAGGGTTGGCTGTTTTGGTATTTATTGCTTATTGTTTGCTATAATTAGTGGGGTTTATGTTATGTTTGTATGCAGAATTTGATTTAAGAGTGCTATAGTTTTCTTTTTGTGAGGGATCTTAGAGGCGTCTAGGGTTTAGGAGAGAAGGTCTTCTTCTTAAAAGAGGACCATTGTATCTTGCTTTGTTCGTATTTAATTTTCTATCAATAAAAATTTAATTTTGTGTTAAATCTCTTGGAGTTTGTTGTTGTTTTTTATACCAAGACGCATCAAATTAGTATTAGAGCGAGGTTTTTGGAGAGATGACAACAAAGAAAGTTGATGCGTTGAAAGGAAAAATAGAACAATTCAAATTCGACATGGAGTAGAAGTTTTTAACAATGGAGAATCGGATGGAGAGCCGATTTGGAGGGATACAAGAGATGTTAAGGAAATTGATGAAGATGCAATCTAAAACTCCACCGGTGGTTCCAATTACTAACCCTAACCAAGATTTGACTGGGATTGCCTTGGCCGAATCTAAGGGAAAGGAGATCGGACGGAAGGGGTTTGACGAGGAGAGTTTCATCCAGTAACATCTTCCTCCTAGGGCTCCAATAAAGGGTGGATCAGGGTTTCCAGAAGAGGAGACAACAATGAGGGGATTGTGTGGTGGAAGTGGTGTAATGGCCAACCATTATGAGAGACATTTCAGGGCTAGGAGAGTGGGCTACCAGAGATGGAGGGTGTCGAGCTGAATCATGGGATCATATCATGCGAAAGGTGGGAGTCCCGCCCTCTATACACGGGGAAAATATGAAGCAACCGCTACACTGGAGGAGGAAGAAGCTATTGGGGTGGTAGCGTTGCTAGGGGGGGTGGGAGTATTGTTATGGCTACAAGCCAAGGGACGCTAGACCGGCAATGGAGGGGGCGGAACTTGAAACCAAATCCAGGGAGATTTCAGCCCCTCTTGGCTTCTTTTGGGGCCCAATAAAAGAATAATTCATTATGTTAGGAGGGTAATTAATGAGAGAATTAAGGAGGAAAATATATCCTATTTGAATTCAAATAGGAAAGGGAAATTGATAAGGAAGACAAACTTATTTGGGGGCTGATTTGGAGGGGATTAATTAGGAGATGTTTCCTAATTAAAGAGAGCAGATTGAGGGCTGATTTGGAGGAGATTAATTAGGAGATATTTTCTAATTGAAGAGGATATATATGGAGGCTGATTTGTGAGAGAATTGGGGAGGGCTGTTTTGCATTTATTGTTTATTGTTTGCTATGAGTAGCGGGGTTTATGTTCTGTTTGTATGCAAAATTTTATTTAAGAGTGCTGTAATTTTCTTTTTGTGAGGGATCCTAGCGGTGTCTAGGGTTTGGGAGAGAAGATTCTCCTCTCCAAAGAGGATCATTGTATCTTTTTTTGTTCGTATTTGATTTTCTATCAATAAGAATATATTTTTGTGTTGAATCTCTTGGAGTTTGTTGCTGTTTTTGACACCAAGAAGCATCAATTTCATTTCCCGTACAATGATTTTTGTCAATCGATGGCTTTGCTTTATGAACTATTTGATCTTGTGTTATTGCCTAACTTTCATATAACTATTATGAGATTAACTGCAATGAGATTAATTGGTCTTCATGAGAACCCTCATGTACTTCGATTCATGGGGTGTTATTGCAATTGACAACATTCATGATTCTTCTTTGGCCCTTAAATTCTATTTTCATTATCTCATATAGGAGGCATTTTGTCAACATTCTTTTATCCAACTCTTTGTTATTCAATATCTAGTGTCAGTTTAGTACGTAAGGAATTTTTTGGTTTTACCAATTATTTTAGAAGGATTTAATTTTTATTCTCTTATACCACTCTTTTTCATTTAGTATCTAATATTGTTTTGGGATATATAAGGAATATGCTTGTTTGAACTATGATTTTTGTTATTCGAGAGTTTGGGGAAGGCTTCTTGTTGTAGGAGTTTGTCTTACTGATAGGTACCACTTGAATATTCCAAGTGATTCCTATCGGATCTTCGCCAAGACACGAATATTCTGCTGTTTTCAATAGAAAACAGCCACCAATAGTGGAAAAAAACTGAGAAAATAGGGAGAAAACGTTGGAAAAACAATCGCAACAATTGTATTCCACTAGTAGACGATCAAAACCAAAGCAAGATACAATGTTCTTCAATTCGAGAGGAAGAACAACTCTCCCACAATCTCCGGCAACGCCAAGAGCCCAAGCAAGAAACCCTAGAACACAAAACTCTTTTCAAAATCAAGATGAAACCCTAATCCCCTCATAACTCTCTATTAATACAATCTAATTCAAATTAAAAGCAAAAGGACTTCTCTACCCTTCCTTCTCCTACAACTCTTGAACACAAACACCTTACAAATACTTTACTAACTTGGACACAACAAACCTAAAGGAGCTTCATTCCATTAGAAGAAGTATACAAATGAAGTGGCACTTGCGTAGAGAAGAAAGGGATTAGAAGCCCGAGAAGAAAGAGGAGAAGCTCGCAAGCTTTCCTAGAAGTAAGAAGAAGAAGTGGACAAAGCTCCCAAGTTTTTCCAAAAACCCTCAGGTTTTCTTATTCCAAAAATAATATTTTTTACCCATCTCAATCATCCAAAAACATCTTCTATATATAGGCATGAGAGGGGAAACCAAACAGCCCCAAAAACTCTTCACATTCTAAATTAAATGAGGGAAATGATAAGCCAACAGCCACCTCACTACATTCCCCAAAAATACGCAGGAAACAGAGCACCAAAGCCACAGAAAAGCCCCCAACAGTCACGGGAAAGCAGCCCAGCCAGGGACCCGAAGAGGTAGCCGCAGGAACCAAAGAGGCTCGCACGGAACCGAGGAACCAAAGGCACGGGAAAACCACCCAGCATAGAAAACCAACAGTCACCCATGGAAACCAAGGGGCCAAGGCACGGGAAAACCACCCAACATAGCCAACCGTGGGAACCAAGGGGCCAAGGCACGGGATACAACCAACACAGAAAACCCAAAAGCCAGCCACGGAAACCCACGGGACAAAGGCACGGAAAACAGCTAGCCGGCATAGGAACTCAAGGGACAAGCTCAGATTTTAAGAAGAAAAGGGGAGAAGAAGGGACAAGACCACTCCATAATGAATCCAACTTATGAGCTTACCTTAGAAGATTAATGAGCTATGTAGATCAATAAATTTTCCCATTGAATGAACTAAACTTCAGCTCATTAATTAATGAGCTAGCAAGCTCAAGAGATTTCACAATTTTTGGATTAGGTTTACAGACCCCCCCCCCCCCCCGCCTACATCAGGATGTAGATGGTGATATAACTTTTAGCGTTAAAGTTGGATGGTAAATTGGAGAAGTTCCTTAAGGATATTATGTTCCAATAATCCCTCCATTTGACTTTTGTAGGTCACGTGTTCGAACCATAGAACAATCTCATATAATTCAAGCTGCCAATTTTAAGCATGAAGTATGTGGATATGATACGCTACGGGAGCCCACAGCTAGGAAGGAGGAGCTATTATTCATTATGTAAGGAATCAAGGGGGAGTTATTTACGAAGTTTTTATTGTGGAAGGTTTTAATTTAGGAAGGTTTTAATTGTGGAATGTTTTAATATTTTTGGAAGATTTTTATTGTGGAAGGTTTTGATTTATGATGGTTTTAATATTTTAAGAAGGTTTTAATTGTGAAAGGTTTTAATATTTTGGGAAGGTTTTAATTGAGTTAGGACTATTTAAGGAGTTTTGTCTAGGGTTTTCATGCTATGTATGGTGAGTTTCTTTTCCTTTTGTTGGTGTGAGTTTCTTAGTGGTGGCTAATTTTTTGTGGGAGAGCCAATCTATCTTTCGAATAGTAGATCAATTGAATCTTACATATTAGTTGAAGGGATAGTA